ACACACACACACACGCACACACACACACACACACACACACAAAATTTATGTTGTAACTGTATATTGTCGTGTAAATAAACTAAGTTCATTTGGTCTTGCTCACTCCTTTAATAGCACGCACCCGAACCCCATCCATACAGTCCGCCACAATGAGATTATAAATATGAGATTTGACAAGCCCTTCCTAGGCAAGCAAACTCGTCTTGGCCCCCTATGGATGTTTACCACCACAGGATGGTTATTGACATCAATTACTTATAAAGAAACCATCAGAACTGTCATTGTGTAACACCCGCACAATGAAGGAAAGTTAACTTTTTTACCTACCGAGCGCCCGTGTCAACAATTACTTTTAATTGATTTGGTGGATTCCAAACTCTATTTTTAACACGTTTTTTATTCTGTACTGTAAGGTATACGTATATAATATTGGCATTTACAAAGTTATTACACACTAGAGCAGCGATGCTATTCATCGTAGGTGCAATTAAGGGACAAGCAAATATTTTGCTTTAGTCCATAATTGACATGCTTTTATGAAGCATACAATGGAAGCAATATCTGCCTAATGATCACACCTGCCTTCCATTTGGTATCCAAACGCTTGAACCATCCACACGCAATGATGTCATCTAAGAAATTAATCAAGATCCTTAGTATATTATTCTATGTACAGTGTTCCACGGGTTTACATCCACAAAGTGCTATGTACCAAGAAATTTTTACCTACCACAACGATACGGCTTGTAAAGCTGAATTCGCCTACAACGTTGTTGATAAAATCTACAATGCATTCCGGCAATGGTATTTTACAATAATCTTTTGTGACTTCACATATTTTGAAAACAGGATACTCAAATACACGGAAACGAAGGATTATGGTTATCCTGTCATGCTTCTTAGTGGATGTGCATCGTCAGCGTCTACAAAAGTCAAGCCTAAGATAGCCAAACATGGGGCAACCGCATACATTATTACGTCTGAAGAACTCTCCTTAGAAGTCAATGACGACGTCATCGGGGCTCTAATTAGAACCGGAGTCTTTAAACCAAGAAGTCCTCTTATATTCGTCATAAACCTCCCAGTTGATGTGGACAGCTACTTCTACTATGACATGCAGAGACACTTTCAACTGCTTTGGAGTAGAAGTATCACCAATTCTGTGTTAATTGTATGGAACGAAAAACTAAGAATGTATACCTACAACGCCTTCCTTAACGAAGTGAAAGATATCACTGATGAAAAGAACGTTGGAAGTTACTTGAGTCGACAATATTACAATCTCAACGGCCATCAGTTGCGTTTAAGCGTATTCAGACAAGTATATTTATCAAATGAAACGGGACCAGTAAAATGTCAGTCGATATTAGCCAAAACAGTTATGTCTTCTTTAAACGCATCTTGTTTACCTCTGATGCCCAGAGATGGAAGCACCGTTGGAGATCTATTAGACAACGGAACAGCAACCGGGGTCACAGGTGATCTCATAGACGGATACACCGATCTAGAGTTAAGTTCAAGAATACTTAAAACTACGTATTATGGGTACATTGACACGACGTATCCATTAACCAATGACGAGTTGTGTTTCTTGGTTAAAAAAGCTGAAAAACAATCAACCTTTACATCAGTCCTGCAGTTGATATCGTCGAATATCCTTATGTTGTTCTTGTCTAATGTAGTTATCTTAATAACTATTGCTATGATAGCTCGGAAGTTGGAAACTCATATTTTGGGTCAGAATCAACAGACAAATGGATCGCCGCTAATGGACTTGGTAAAATGCTTTTTGAAACAGACAGCGGATATAAAATTTTTAGGACCAGTGTTTAGATTTTTAATATTTATGATTATCAGTTATTCCCTGGTTATTAACAGCGTGATTGATGTAAGTAATCAACGCTTTGTTTTTATCACAACTTAAGACAACATATTTTTTATTATACTGCTCTGTTTTTGTTTCAGGGCATCATCTACTCAGCTATAACGTATCCCCGATACAAATCAGACATTAATACTTTAAAACAGTTATATGAAACAAATTTAACTTTTGGTGTCCACAACAGACACATGAACATTTATAAAAGCAGCTTGACGGAACATAACAATGAAATAACTTTGAAACGCACAGAAGCATTCAACGATAAGAAAATCAAAGAAGTTTTAGAAAACAGAAAGTTTGAATACGCCATATTGTTAAGAAAAACGGAAGCGCAACACATAAGCAGAAATCCTTCAAATATGGCGAAAGGAAAGCCAATATTTCATACTGTTTTACAATGTCCAATACCATGTTCAATCGTGTACGGTTTGCGGTATGGCAGTCCATATCTTCCAAGGATAAATTACATATTACATCATTTAAACCAAGGTGGGATTTTGCAGTACTGGTCGAAATCTGACGAATTAGGTGTAAACACACATTTTGACAAATTGCTCATAAATGCTAACAATAAGGACAGAAAAGCACTGGGAATTAATAATCTGAAAGAAGTTTTTTACGTTTGGTTGTTCGGATTACTTTTGAGTTGTTTTGCATTTTTGTTTGAAATACTTTGGAGTAATTATCAGATTAGATGGTGGATAGTTTAGATAAAGTTTCACCTTGAGTTTTCTTGAAGACACTTGTTAGCTGTTTTTAAAGACTGAATCTCTGTTGTTAGTTTTTCAGTTCTATTAGTATATTATTTCCACAAGATTGTTCCTCTTTTTCTGGTTTGATACAACGTAACTGTTTTTATAGGAACATTTATTTTGCGCGATTCCTTCAAAGTTGCATTTTCAAGTCTTTAACCGTTAGACGAGCACATTAAACTCTGCTCTTCAGGAGCTGTGGTGGTGATAGAGCTGGAGATCCAAGTGTCGGTGGACGCCATATTGTGACGTCACCACTATGTACAGGATCAAGAACACGTGAAGCTTGACACTTAAGATTTAAAACCAACTCTATACCGCTTACAATATCAAGGGTCCAAAGTACAAAGTGTCAAGCTTGACATGCTCTTGACTATACAATTCGCATAAACGCTTTTTAGTTATTTATTTATTTGTCCAAACATTTGAAATATATTACGTGATATGATTTCTTGACATCCCTAAACCGATATTGGTTTGTTTGGGTGCTGCGTAATCCTCTTATAAACCTATGCACGACAGAAAAGTAACTTATTTTACTTACGATTATAGAATTCACAATATTAATAAAATAATAGTGAGTAATATCATTACGAAATGCTTTTGAATGTCGGTAGAAAGAAAATAAAACTACAAATATCGTAAAATGCAACACAAACACCAGTTTTTGCACTCGCGTCATATCGACCAAGCCCGTGCTCGTACAGCAGCGTGCTCCAACTCATAAATTAAATTAAGTGTCTAACGGACTAGTTTTCTTAATTGAACGTTTTAGATTCACAGGTGTTATGTTTTTCTTTAATTCCAAAGGTAAAGTGTTAATTAGTCTTGCTACGATAAATTTAGTTGTCCTTTAGTTTCAATCTTTCAAAATCGTTTTGGAAAATGTTTAAGCCCCATAGACTTTGATATTGCAACATTATATTAATAGCGAAAAGTGAGAGTAGGCCACTAAATGTTTAGATAAGTTTATTTGTAAAACACGAGTTTTATTTTTATTTCTAACATTATTATTCACGTTGACGAATTAGGAAACAGACGGTGGGACATTAAACTTGCGTACGTTGTAAAAAAATGATAAGTATTGTTGAGTATTGAAATTAGCAACGCTTACAACTGAAGTTATGAGCGTGCTTGTGTGCTAATATTAAAAAGCGCATTTTGTAAATTGCTTTTCGTTTAAACGCCCACCTCTACTGAACTGTAAAAGTATTTTTTATCAAAAATGAACTGTTTGATCCAAACATTATGGTTCAATTTTCTTGCTCTTTCTGTCTGTCTACTCATCATCAACCCATTTATAGGTCTCACTGCTGGGCAAGGGTCTCCTCTCAAGAGAGAGTTTAGGCGATAGAGTACCGTGCTGGCCCTATACGTGGCTTCTTCATACCTTTTCCGAAGGTTCACAACTAAGAAGGCTTCGACGTGTAGGTTTCATTATGATGTTTTCCTTCACCCAAAAAAGTCGTGGTAAATTTGAAATTAAATTTTGCACATAAATTTCGACAAACTGAGAGAACCCACCCGAACCCACGGCTTCTGCTTGAGAAGGTCATACCATTAGGCTACCACGGCTTATTACTCAATATTTAGTTTTTCGTCAAACAATATTTAGTGTGCGTAAACTTGGTATGATAAAAAACACAGTTATAAAAATAAAAAGGATAAAAACGTTTACAGATTGCTTGTTTTCCACTCGTCTTGTAAACTTGTGATTTGGTATTTACGCCCTTTCTTTCCCTAAGCATGGACTTGTTTGTTTTTAACCGACTGTAAAAAAGGAGGAGGTTCTTAATTCGATTGTGTTTTTTGTGTATACGTTACGCGATTGCTCCGGCATTTGTGAACTGATTTTTATGATTCTTTTTTTGTTGGAAAGAAGGTACCTCAGTAGTGGTCCCATTTAAATTTGAAGATAATATTCCACCTCTTAGGGGCTGAATTAGGCTTCGCGCGCGTCCCGACAAAACTTGGCAAATAACGCACACACACTCAACATAGCCCCGCACTAGGGAAACCCTGTCTCGCGGGTGCCATAGTTACACACATAGACAACCACAAATTACACCCAAACTCACCAGAGAAATAAATGTAGGCCATGCAAATATTTCTTCCGGCCCGGGAATCGAACCTGGGACCTCTGCGTGGCAGTCCGGCATGGTAACCGTTCGGCCACGAAGGCAGTTGAATAGATGTAATTCCAATAAAAAAGCTGATAATCGGGTGATTACAAGAGGGTTCTTGAGGACTTTTTTAATGAAAAAAGTGTACTTATTATTTACTGTTAGAAATGCTTCGATATAAGGACTCTGGCTTACTACAATTTTAAGTAAAAAAGTCCAAAGATTTCTGTCACAGCTCCTTGCCAGTCTATATTTAAATTCATGTTAACAATTCATAAAACAGAATATAAACAGAGCGAATATGTCTGAAATGAATTCCCGAGTAGTAACAGCACAGAGCTCCCAGGATTATTGCGACTACAGTGCGACAAATCTCTGCCCACCTAACAATTTGATTTAAATTTACATAATCCCTTATCGCTACTCCGCATTTGCCGCACTTTAAATGTTAATGAAGGGACTCCTAAATTTGCGATTTTTTAGGCTGGTCAGACTACTTGGATGGCGGATAATCTATGACATTAAATCATCGTGTACATCGTGTAAGACATTTTAAGGGATAGGTAACTACATAGGATATGACGTTTCTTTGTAAACAAGAAAAATAAGACACAGACACGATTGTAACCGTGCAAGCAAATATATTTGTCTTACCTACTTACCTATAGTAGTTTTTAGTAGCGGTAGAACTCCATGTGTAACAGGTCGTCCAGGGAAGTACTGCCTTACCTATTTCTGCCGTCAGCAGTAATGTGATTATTGCGGTTCGGTTTTGAGGGGTAAGCGTGCTGATTACAGGCACATGAGACTTGTCAACTTGTACCTCTCAGGTCTTTGCGATATAAAGTTCTGTGTGGCACCGCAACTGTTATGGATAGGATCGCTTACCACCAGGCGCACGACTTGACCGTCCCTTCACTTGGTGATAAAAAACATATTAAATTTAACTCGCGGTGAAACTTAAATGAGAAGAAATAATCTACTAACACCATTGACATACAATTATATGGACGTCGGGTCCGCGCTAAAAAGTGTCCGAACTTATAGGGCGTTAAAATCGTATACAGAGCGTCATTCACGCTTTAGTCTTCGTTTGTTCGACTGACAGCGAAGCAAGCAAAATTAGACAGTACTGCGATGACATTACAATTTAAATTCAACGTTTTAGCTTTTTCATATTCCTTTACATGTCACTACGTTTAAATAGGTTGACTTGGGACATTTTTTTCGTGGTTTTTGTGTTAGACTCGTCGTCCATTTATTTGTAAGTCAATGACTAACACGATGATTTATTTCTTTGAAAGTCAACCGAGTTCTTAGGCTGCTAACAGAGTGAATTCATGATCAACTTCATACAGCCGAGACACGACGGCATGAAGTTGATAATGACTTCACGCATTAACTGCGTGCATATATTTTCTGATTATGATCTAAATCTGATGTTTCATTGCCGTGATCATGGGATCTGTAAAGGCCCAGAAGCGTTTCTTTGTTTGAAAATCAAATATAGACGCGCTATTTAGATCCGGAAAAATTGTTTCATTTCCTATGTGTAACAATCCCGGAAATCTAATAATACGCCATTAACTCAGTGTTCCAAAATCCTTGCATCGATCGAATATTTTGAGTGAAGCTTAGTAAGTGACGCGTTTTAATAATCTAAACGTTGAATAAAAACTGCCGTGTGCCAATTTTGTACGGTTTTGGAGAGTTTTTTATACTTAGGAATCAGAAAAATGATTATACAGTTAAAATAAAAATACTAAGAAATATTTATTAAAATGAATTTAAAAGAAATTGAAAACACCACATAGCAGCTTTATATTTCGCGTTACAAGTACCCAAAAATCATTTTTAAATGTGGATTTTTCACAAAATAAAACCAGCTGATAATTCCATACATATTTCCGATATCGCATGAATAACATTTTTTAAATTCACAACACTTGTTTTAAATGAAATTTATTGTAATTACAGGCACATGAGACTTGTCAACTTAGGGCGACAGGCGTAGAGGCAGTGCCTCCCGGATCTTTGCGATTTAAAGCTCTGAGTGGCACCGCAACTGTTATGTACAGGCCCGTCACTTGATATAATAAAAAAATATAGTAAAAAAAAAAGAATAAAATTGTAATGTTTTGTTGAATGCATATTTTATTTTTTATGTATTATATGTATAAAGAGTTATTACATTTGACATATACATCATTTGTTTGATGCAGTTAGTATTATTTTTATGAGTTTCATGTGATAAAAATATACACGTTTGACGTATGGTCACACATGGCTTTGTAAACATCAAAGGTATGAAGTGTATACTTACGTGAAACATGCGGAATTGCAATGGTTCACAGGAACCATTCAATAGACTTGGGGAATTTAAATATTTTGATACTACCTTGTATATATACATATAGACATACGAAGTTTATAAGTTTGACAATCAATATAAAAAATACGTATTAATCCAAGCGAAAAGAAATCCAAAATAGACCTAAAGAAAATGCGCCTAAAATGACACTGTATATTAAAAAAAATACTCCTATTAATGCAAGAAAACGAAGTACTAGATGAGACAAAAAAGAAATGTTGAAGAAAATGACAGCTGATTCATCAATTGGCAGCGTGCAGGTTTCATATTTCCTTCACCGTAAAAACTCATGGTAAACTTTAAATTAAATTTCACACATAAATTCCGAGACACTCAGAGGTGCATGCCCGGATTCGAAGCCACGACCTCTGCTTGAGAGGCGATAGATCAAACCACTAGGCTACCAAAGTTTATTATTGGCTAATTATGAAAAATTATTACTGTGTGAATGAATTTCGAACAATGAATGAAATTTGACATAAATAAATAACGTACACACTCAACATAGCCCCGCACTAGGGGAACCCTCTGTTGCGGGTGCCATGGACACACAAATAGACAACCACAAATTACAACTAAACTCACAAGAGAAATAAATATAGGCGATATTCTACCGGCCCGGGAATCGAACCTGGGACCTCTGCGTGGCAGTCCGTCATGGTAACCGTTTGACCACGGAGGCAGTTAAATACGCGTTAAAAAGCTCGGATGTTAAGTTATACAGCGTTGACTAGTTTATTAATACAACTTGCATT